AACCAGCAGAGTGAATTGAATTGAATCATTTTCGTCGGCAAATGTATGCTGACGATGGCTAACCGCACCTTCCTTTTCCGTTGACAGGTGGCCGTTGTTTCTGCTAGCGGCCCAAAGTCTGCGTGTGTTTCTAACGCGCTTATAGCGTTTTGTACATGAGAAACGACTTTCATTTGTTGCATTTACCGTTGTGCTAAGTTAGAATTAATTTTACTCTAAGTTACTGCAAGTACTGTTTATTTTTGTGTTTATAATTGTAACGGTTGATACAGGTAGGAGATTTCAACGATATGCAGTCTCCCCCGCTCATCAAAGATATGCCTGCGCAGCCGGCTACAGAACAGAATCAGCCATCCGAGTCTGTAGTTGCCGATAACCACAAAGTCATTCCGGCGTTCGACAGCGAAATTAGTAAGTTCTTAATGCTATGTTATTTTCTTACTCAAAATCCGCCTTCAATATGAGATTACCTGCCAGAGCGAACTAAATATGAGATTACTGCCGAACGGTAAATAATACAGTGGTAAGCGAGGCCGACATTTTTTCTGTAATTTCCTTTTAGGCAGTTTTATACATGAAGGAATACTGGTTACAAACTAAGATGGGAGAATTGGTGCCCACCGTTCATACTAGTACATTCCTTTTGGGAGCATGTCGAGTCTCGAAGATAGATATAGTGCATGGATCATTTGAACGGAATTGTGTTCGGTGTGAAGCAGTGAAACGAGAGTTCCGGTTCCATCGAGTCTGCCTGTTCTTATTTGTGTCACTGTTGAATTAAGAGCAGCTCTCTTCTCATTTTAATATTTTTTAGCGTGTAGTGCTCTTCTTTTCTACAAATCTTCTTCATATTTTTACTTCAGTAGTTTTTTTCTTCGTCCTCTTCATTTTCTCTTCTTCCCCAACCGAGAATATAACTGCTAGAGGAAGATGACAGTTCGTTTCGATGACTTTTTCGTCTTGTTGTTACACGTTCAACATTTCAGACACTGGAAGTGCCGGTGTTAGCAAAGTTCTTCATACACCGAAAGCCGTTGAACATCCAAGACAGGTTACGAAAAAATCGGGGGTATTTTTTATGCTAAACTCAATGGTCTTTGTTTTATCTCAAACTTTAAAGGTTTCCGGAAGAAGAGGAGCATTCGCTGTTCGGAAGACCGACGTCAAATTTTGCGAAATTGAGAAGGAAGCGCAAATGATGGACATCCAGAGGAAAGCAGCAGCAACGAGACCAAAAGCACCGTTGGCGAGCGAAGCGGAATGTAACGCCAAGTGAGTTTGATGCTTTTGTTTTGGCTATCACAGGTTTGTGATGATCGACTATTCTTATTTGAAAATGCAAAGAAGGAAAAGGATAAGTTTGCAATGTTGGTCGACGTTGTATTTTTTATGATGGGCTCTCTTTGGCGCCTTCCTTTTCATAAAGGTAATGGTGAGGCGCTGATCACGATTTCTATGCAATCAGCCAGCAGTGCGTTATGTTGAAGGCTGAGTCGACAGTAGCCAGGTGACAAGCATAGCCTAATGTTTGTTTCCGATGGAGTGGTGCTCATTTATCAAACTCTGAACGACCAAGGCTGTATGTTCTTAGAATATGTGCAGAATTTATCGTCAAGTTTTGAGTACAGTCATTTCTGTAACTCTCCAGACGAAACCAACTTTGTCCGAAACGTCATTTCAGTGTTTAAGATCCATTGAATAGATTTTATGCGTTGTTCATCCGTTTGTGACACAAAGCATAAAGTAATACGTTATTTGTTGCTGTTTGTCGTCATCATCCAAGTTACAGTAAGCCTTGCTGCTCCGCTTACCGTAGAGTAATGATGCCTGACGCATAGGCGGTGATTCCACTGAATTCTTTAAATATTAACTGCTTGAATGAAAAAGCGCATGTTTCTTGTCATGAAGAAATATGCTTAGTAGCTTCTATATACCTCACTATTATACTAGGAGAAAACTTGTCAGGTCTTGTCACTAGAGATTAGCAAAAACTAAAGATCCGATTGTTCGATCCCAAAGTATTTATCATTTTTAATTGTTACTGTATTTTACGATCTAGTTTGTAATTAGCCTCAACATTTAGCTAACAAAGTAGTCATTCATGTTAATCGTTTGTCGTGTTTAATTATTTCTCATTTTCAATTTCTTTTTTAGTTGACTTTCAAACACGGTTCATTTTTTAGGGCTGCCGCTTCTCGCTTCACGATGAAAGACATAGAAAAGGAACTGGAACACGCAGCGAAGACCGCACAAACTTCGGATGTCAAGGAGAGGAAGCAATCTGAACGACTAGGCATCGGACTGAATATCTCTAGAGGGTGAGAAATTCTGCGACAGCCGCATGTTTCGTTTCGTGCGTTTCTACAGAACTTCGTTTCTAAGACAAGTCAGCCATTCAGTGCTTTCCAACATGAAGCCGATTCAGCAGGAAGGCGGCCCATCGCTTTCTCGCAAGGAGATACACTTCGCGAAAGATCATGACGAATGGGAGATATTTCCCAAGAAGGAAAGCGCGTAAGTTTCAGCGGTAGTTTTTGTTATACTGTTTCTTGTTCACTTATTTTGTCTTTTTGTTTACAGTTTACTCCAGGAGCTGATTTCTGTCAACCGTGAGGTGTGTCGGGGCAACTGCAACCGAAAAAAAACAACAGTGTTCATAAGTCTCTCACATGACCATTCCACGGGGCCAAGTTTCCCTATTGTTCTTATGTACCTCGTGAATCATATACTGACCACTACAAGAATTGACCGGTCCTTCTTCTTAATCATCATTGTCTAGTCTCAATATCAGCACGATATTTAATCAGAAACTGTCAGGTCTCTCTTTTAGCTCATCGACCACTCTGAATCGAGGTCATCCAATCGGAGGTTTGCAGCCCCTTGGACAGAAATTCCATCACTCTGAAATCAATCGAGTGATGCAGTACGTAGTCCAGATCAAACTGCATTACGGGTATTGAGGGCAACTCCCGTTTGTGCTTGTATTAACTTCCATCTTGGCAAATTGTTTTGGTTCCTGTCCACGCTTGCCACGGATCATGAACAGAACTTACGTTTGCCCTTCACCCCGACTGAATCGGTTTCCAGGCGATTTCCCTGTGAGGCTTTGCCCGCTCGAAGTTTTTCTTGGTGGACTCTGGCATAGCCACTTCTTCTGGCGGCGGACCGCGGAGCGGTACTTCACATGGTCGATCATCGTAGCTATTTTTTTGTTTCTGCTTCATTCTGTCTCTGACGATAGTTGACTTGTTTTCTTAAGCATCCGCCTATCAATCTAATTAATAAGGTCGATTCATATTGTTCCTTCGAAGGTTGAATAAAAAAATTACTATTCTCGATCGTTCAATCAGCCAGTCAATAATGAATCATGTTTGTTTCATTGAGCCATGATCGTTGTATTAGGGCGAGATGGCTTAATCACATAGTGACAACAGAAATTCTACAAACCGCAGAATATGAAAAAATTGCCACAAAAATCAAGAACATGTTTATCTTGATCTGTTAACGTTTGTGTACGAATGAATGAATATTTTACTGCTTGAATGGAACCAATCGTATACCATTTTTCCGCGTTTGAGCCTTAATGGGACTTAACTTAGCCATATTCGAATATGGAATAGAGGAAATGATTTGTCGAGTAACCTTGTCTTTGTCTTTAAAGTTGAAGGTAGATTATATGTTCGAGTTTAAAGCTTTTTAAAGTTGAAGTCTTTCCAACGCATGGAATTTTCCTCAGGATTAATACGCGAGGATGGCAGTGAATTTTAATTTGAAGGCGATAATTTGGATATATTTGGCACTGTTGACAATCAGGGTCTGGGTAAAAAAGGGAAAAAGTGAAAAGTTTGTAACCGTTGGAATATCGATCTTCCTTACACTTTCATGATGAGGCCATTTCTAACGTTCGTTTTTTCCTGAAGTTGATGGTGGGACGCAGCTCTCCATTTTCATCTAATCAGCCAGGAGTGCCTTATTTTAAAGGCAGACTCGACTGCATCTATGTGGCAAACATTGTGCGTAGTCTTCTGTTTGCTTCCCACAGGGTTGTACGTATTTATCAATCTCGGAAAGAAGAAAGGCGAGTGGCTCTGACCGCGCCTCTACCCCTGAACTTTGATCTTCGGACACTCTACAGACTGAGCAACATCGACGCATTTATCAAAGGTTACAGTTTGATGAATGTCGTCGTCCGGCTAAAAGTGGTTAACTACTTAAGTTTCTGACTCCGGCTATGATACGAACAAGTTTGTTGTGAGTGCTTTTTGTACAGGAAATTGAATACTATTTAAACATTTCTTAGCCGTTTTCTCTACAAATCTTCATGCATGAGCGATGATAGTACTTACATTTTAGGATTT